ATTTATCAACCTCGTGCAAGCTTATCAAGAAAGAATACATACAGAAAAAATAACCTAGATAAGGAGACAAGGAAGTGTTTTAGAGTTGCGATAGCATTCGTAATATTTGGAATGCTGAAGCATTTTGAAGTCATAACGAAGATGATGGTCTCGAAATCAAGGCTACCGCACCAGCTAAAGAAATAAAGACGTGCTCATTGATCACCTGAAGCAGTTTTGTTGAATGCTAAAATTCCAATGAACTGAAGACAAAAGATACCTACATCTCCAATATTCGTCTAAGGAGGGCACATATTTGTTGCTATAGATGTAAATACTGCACTGCAGCTGCACCTATAGTTCAAGCCATGTTTTGTGTCCTGTATTATGGTCTTTTCGCGTGTGGCACAGTGGTCGGAGGCACCTTACAATAAACATCGGATCGATTCCCGCACACCTGGCTTACCAAGCCTTCCAGCCCACTGGGGTGGCAATTTTGTACTTGTCCGGAAGGATAGCAGCACCGAACATGCATTCAGTCACCTACAAACGATGTCTAGTGAATTCGAATGCGTGGAGCATCCCCAAGAAATTTATCAAACCGAGAGCCTTATCCCTTACTCTTTATTGTGGTCTTTACATTTTTGTCCAGTAGGCCAACAATGATCATCTGAATGATTGCATTCCGAAATGGAAACCTGTCAAAATATCATTAGTGCTGAAATTTCCGTAATAGCAATGGCCTAGTAACATTTGGTGACACTATTTCAGTCCATTCCAAAAACAACAGTTTCAAGTGTAGGTCATCCTATTTCCACAATTAAACCACTTACAAAATTCATCATCTATCTGTTGCTCCCTCGTATCGTAAACAAGATGAAGCCCAAGTAGTTCTCGCACCATACTGTGGACAAAGACAGCATGTCGTGCACCAACCTCACTTAAGCAGCTGCAACAACCACACTAATGTTAGACACAAGGAAAAATGTAAACGTAGTATAGAAGCTTTCTATGGGTAAGAATTTTTCAAAAATTTGCCTGTAGATGTGGTTTTTATCGCTGGGAAAGCGATGAAGACAATTCAGCAGCGCTCTTGAGCAGAGTCTCATGCATTCGGCGTCGGCAAACTCTGCTTTGGATAAAAGTTGGCGTAGAGCTTGTCGTGAATCGACGACAGCATCCTAATAGAAATATTTGGGTCTCACGATAAACAGCACAATAACAATAAGTTTCAGTGAATAAATATTGTGCTTCAGAGGATAATTGTTAAGAGGAATTGATCTGATAGTAACTGAAGATATACTACCAGCATATGAACTTACATCCAGACACTTTAGTACTGTTTCAAGTTGTTCTTTCTGCAACTCTCCGTGGACTATTAATGGAGTCAATGCAGCAATAGCATCCAGGCGCACCTTGAATATTACTGCCATACATGACATGTTGTTTTACATATGTTACTCGGAGCATGGAAATATCGTATAAATAGCTACTTCCGCGATTTCGTCGTTGAACATATCTGCGAGATGATCGAGAGCCGTTGTAGCAAAAGCCGGTCTAGTGGCTGCAAGCTGCCCCAAAGAATACACCGCCGCCCGTCGAACGGCTGAAGTTTTCTACACCATTACATATAGTTGCCAAATACGAAAAAAATGGCTCCACTATATATTTGATTTAAAAAAAGTACATTATAATCAATGTCAACGAGCTTACACATAAATTCGTCTTCCAAAGCAGAAACAAAGGCGCCACATGCGCCACGAGGAACAATGCTTTCAGGGTCATCGTCTGAGGATGTAGCCAGTCCACTAGGTGGACAAGGCGCATTAAGCTCCTTTCCAGATGACCACTCAGTACGTGAAGATCTAGGAGACGAATCTCATGTTCAAAACACTTCAGAATGTCCCTACAGAACAAACGGCATCTTCGTAAAGCTTCTAACAGGTACAAACAAAAACAGGAATAAATTACTGTTTATGTGATTGATGTGACTGGTAGCTGAACTTCCATCGAGATTCCCTAGCAGGCTTCTCTGATCCCTGCGTGACAGTGAAGCGTGATTGATGAACTTTTTTCACTTGTTCACGGCCAGTCGCATCCTAATATATACCGCCTTCTTCGTATTAACAGATACAAGGTCCTCATAAAAAAACCTTACCTCTACAGTTTTCATCATCTTTTTGTCAAGAGTTTGATCGAGGAATGCATCAGATACAGAATGGAATTGCCCAAGTATCGTCGTCGCCTCTGTTCGTACGATGACCTAATTACAGTTCGATTTTTTTTCCTCTGCAATAAATTCTTCCTTCCTACACCATAAAACCTTAAAGAGATTTTCACGTAATGTAGTTTCCACTATTAAGAAACGATGAAGTAGTGTAAAAAATACCAATCCTCGAGAACTAAGAGAAAGAGTATACTCATAGCAGTCATTTAAACTCCAGAAAACAAAAAAAAAGCAAAAAAAAACAGCAATTTCAATGTCAGATAGCACAGAAGAATTTCTCTAAATCAGAAGACACCTCGTGGAAACCAAGCACACCTAATATACGTAGATACTTGGATGGCCCGTCCACACTGTTTGTGCGGGTCCCAGCATAATTTCCACTGTTCCGGACTTTCTGCTGGCCTAATCATCGTGGTTTCCTGAAACCCTTGGGTCAGCCTGGTCAAGGTTTGCCCCAGGTCGTTACCACCACACGCAGTTGCCGCCCCTGTGGATCATAGGGAGATTTGCAACCAAGCTACCAGTTTGATACTAGGACGGTGGTGGATCCTGGTATTAGTTATGGAGAAATGTAATGTGGAATAGTCACTCCTACTATAACGAAATTAAACTTTTTTTTCTCAATCAGCACCAGAATTACAGAATAACTTAACAAGTACAACAGTAATTCACTAACCTCTTGATCATTTACGGCATCGCAAACAATATTGAACGCATCATCACACAGTTGCAACTTTGCATCACTTGACTTTGAAAATTTACTCGGAATAAGTCTGGAAAAAGTAGCATCTGGCAGTAAAACTGCATGAAACTGAAATAAAACTAAGTAAAACACTTACAATGAAGGAATTCGGTTCGCAAATACCAATATAATGTGAAGAGCAAGGATCCGAACTTGTCTATGAGAGTCTCCAACCAGCTGAGGGGTAAAACATTTCCGAGACGATCTACTTACAAAGTAGGATTTGTTACAACGAACTTACGTTTTTGACGGTATTGTAGGTATGGACATTCACTCCATCTTCGATACCGCTTAGAAGTGACAAGCCTTCGACTGCGGATAGCCGAACACGAGAATCCATATCCATTGTCATTTGGCACAATAATCTTTCCAAAACTAAGAAAGACATCGAATCAGGTCGACCTAAACCTATCAATGCGACAGAAAATATATAACAGCTCTTCGCAATATCTCTACAAGTCGTTGGAACAATAGGCTGGATAAAAATTTTTCTTGACGTATTTCTGAATTTCTGAGCTGTGAAGAATATGCTTCGCAGAGATCAAGAAGCATTCCCTTGTTCTCAAAAGCAAGCGTACCCAGACGATCCATACCGGACCAGATGACTGTGTGGTGTCGCAGTTTCCATGCCTTATAATTCAGTCATATGCTAATTTTTTAGGAACTCGAAATCGTAATGATGACGGTGCAACAATGTCTCCAACAGACCATTTTGTCCGCTAAAGACCTCAACAAATTATTCCGAATATCTTTTTGTAAAAAACTAAAATAGGAAAGAACTCTTACTGGCCCTCAAAAGTAAAAATACACAAAAATAAACCGCTAGGCGTGAAGAACGAACATGTGTACTATTCTGGAGTCTAAAAAGTGTGTAAAAATTGAAAATGGGAAAATGACCTCACTCTGCTCCACTAATTACACTTTCTCGTCCAAGGTCGACATTTTTCTCATGTATTTTACAATGCGGAGGGAAAGCGAATGGCGGAGTGATTATTTATGCAGTACATCAGGAAGCAAGGTACTGGTTCAACCCACAACCCACGCTCTCCTGCAAACTACGTGGGAACGCCATGGCTCGGAAATCTCCAAGATTGCAAGCAGAACCGACTCGACCACTATTCTACGACATTCACGAAGAAGAGATCTTTAAGCAGCAGCCGAAGCAACACGCGAAATGTTCCAAGACCTTCATGGACGATGAATGCGCGGAAAATGAATCGAATGCAAGAAGTGCTGGGATCTGTGATAGTAAATGTGATGATAGGTCATGTAATAAGCTACATAATCATAAATAATATAATTTTACGTTGCCACAAAGCCCAATCGAAGTTCTAAATATTGGATAGAGATGAAATAAGTTTCACCAACTGCAATCACCATTCACCATCTTATTCAGCGCTTTCACCGCAGTATCCGTGTAGCAAAAACAAATGAGATTCCAAGGGATCCGAAGAAGTTTCCTCGAAGTACACTCAAGTTGTCATTACAGCTTCAATGTGAAAATCCGCCAAAGAACGTCTAAGTAAGAGAAGTCGCATTAGAACTCATGGAATGTGTTAGTCAAATCGAATAACGGAATTCATTAAAAAGGGCAGTTCCAAAACACATTCACCACTTACTGGATGTAGAATTCAGTAAGCAGTAGAAGTCCCAGCTATGCTATTAACCGAGACCACTTGACATTTTGTACATATGGAATGGTGAAGTGACTAACAACATCGATGAAGGATATGGATAATGTAAGGAAGAACCAAACGTTGCTACACATGTTACATAGAATGGCTGAGACAAGCAGAGCATTAAAAATAGGCGGAAACAAAAAGGTATCAGAAATGACCCAAAATCTGTTTGACGTTCAACAAAATTAACAACTCACCCTTCATTACACGTGCAATGTGAAACCCGATAGCTGCGCACCTGGAGATGTGAGCAGGAGAATGCAAGCAACGATCTGCACAGCGTAAAACCCTACAATAAAAATAGGATTCCAAAATCGTCGTAATAACAGTAACTGCGTCCTTTAATTTAAATTTACAAATATATAGTATTTTGCACCACAGCTGCACATGTAATTTCTTGGATACTTAGATGAACCATCTCCATGGGTTGTGCGGGCCGCAGCAAAATTTCCACCTTTTCGGAGTCCTGCTGGTTTAGCTATTGTGTTTCCTTAGTGTTCCGAGGTCAGCCTAGCCAAAGTCTGCCCCAGGTCGTCACCACCACAGACAGTCGCAGTCCTTGTGGATAAGGAGATTTGCCATCATGAGAATTGTTTGATACCAGTACGGTAATGGAAGCTAGAGTTGGTTTACTCTTAGTTGCGCTTCCTTGTAGAAGCGTCGGACTCCTCAGCTTGGGAGAGCGTGCCGAGAGGACGAATGCCCTCGCTGTACATCGCAGTCCGACACCCAGGGAACACCTCCCAGCCATGTTGAGGCGGTAAGCCGTTGGGAGGCATGCAATAATATTTTACACACTTTCGATTCAAGAATCCTGTGGAGTAGGGCAACCATATTTCTCAAACTACATAGCTACATAGAGAAAGCAGTTATGTAGACATGCTAAGGCTACCTCACTGGAATACACTCCGACGACATTGCTTCTTTATTAAGTCCTTCCGTTAACAATAACAGTAAGCCATCGTCCAAACAATTCCTTGAGAACAGGCTAAAAATATGCATCATGAAACCTCTCGACTACGAAATGCTTCAGCAACCAGCTCTAACATAAAACATGTAGCCAACTGAATAAAGCAGGTAGAAAAATCATTAAGAAATTAAAAATAACGATTTGACAGCTCATTGAGAAAAAATCCCATACTTGGCCTCTTTGCCAGCTTCAGAGAGCAATCGCTGTAAGACTGTAGGCCATAAATCTTTCTCTGCTCGCCTCATGATACACAACAACATCCTTCAAACAATGCTAAGAAATACTCTGTAAGCACTATAAAGTGAATACAGCCTACACAGATGGATCAATATGAGCACAAACGACAACCATACCTGAGCAACTGCCTAGCTATCTGATCATAGCTAGTCAACGACGCCGATGCGATGATACGATCCACAACTTCTGGAATGTCCTCAGAAAGTGTAGGCAAGTGCTCGATCGAGAACTCGCGCAGCAGAATGGAGGCGCTTGAAAAGAAAGAGAGCATCAGACCACAAAGTCAGAGAAGCGGTCTACTCATGACAAACTCGCATTTGACGATCTCCTCCTTGCAGTCGTGAGTGTACTTCATTAATGACATCAACAGCACGGCGGTTAGGAAAAGCTAGTGCAGCTGGTCGACGGGACAAAGTGTTGCTATCCAGATCCTGAAACACAACCTTTATGGCGCTAATAAGCGATGTCATAAGCCTACTCGTCTCCAAATCCATAGCCGATCCGCCACAGATGTAAGCCACTGAAGCTACCATCCATTAAAAGCCAGACTCTATGAATCCATCGCTCTCTTCTCACGGGTTCTTGCAGGATGCATCGACACAGACCTTCCAGATTAATGTTTTACAGGGTGTGAAGAAAAATGAATTAAATTCACGGTGCATTATTCAATACGTGAACAGAAGTACCTGCGATTTTCAAACCTGGACTATTTAACAGCTCGGGACACACATATCTCTATACTTTAGCTCATTTCTAAAAGAACAGAATGCCATGGAACAAATTAGTTTTGGAGATTCCATCTCAAACGCATTCCTGATCTTAATGTCGCAAAAGGCTTAACAGCACTACCGTGTCTAAGGATTAAGTAAAAGGCAAATAAGTGGGTGACCCATAACAATAGTTTCGTCCCGTAATTAATGTCCACATATCTGTTTCACTCTTTTGATTTCCGCAGCAAAAGCTACATCGTGAAGTCTCCTTTTCTTTGGAAGCAGGCTCAACGTTCCGCGCCTTTCGGTTTTCACCATTGCGGCAACAGGCAGCCAAGATAGCCACGAACACTTGTGGAGATCTGAAAAACCGTAGAGATACACACACACACACAAAGAAACCCTCCTACCCTACTTTTTTGCTACAAGGATGCTCTTAGGTTGAAAATAACAGTTAAAATAATTGGAGTGTGAGGTACGTGCTACACCAAATGCGCCGAAGTCCACGTCAACTAAGCTACGGGCCGAGGAAGATCGGTGCTTCTTGGAGTCCTAGCGTAGATAGAGATTTAAAGACCTATTTAAAACGTTTTGAAATGCTGTAGCTGAGAATTTGAAAGAAAAAAACCATATGGGTATTCCTTATTAGAAGGTTTTCTTTCAATGGCTACAGCTTGCACTGAGATCCGTTTTTGATTAGGATTCAACAAATACTAGTGGTCTTTCCCGAAGAACAGATGAGGAGAGGATGATTCCTACACTAGAGGATAGTGGTATGGAAGTTTACGCTGAAGATAATAACAAGCTGTCCTCGTCAGATGCAATTAGGTGTGACTCAGCCCTTGAGATACTGAAATCTGTTTAGAACTCAAGGATCTCGTAGTATCGTCATCATTTCCTACCACTGGAATTTTAGTTGTTTGTAGTGTAAATCACGAGTCAAGTGACCTTGAAGGATGAGCTGATCTACTTCATGGTATTCGAATATAGTTCTCTTGAGTGTGGAAAACTGGAGTACTTTGGGATCCAGGAACTCTATGAATGAATTTTTCACGAATGTCTATGGTAAGGATGATTTTATTATTCTGATAGTAGGGATGTTAAATTTAGGAACTAAAGTCCTCCAGTGCCCTTTAGTGACTGAGGAGCATAACACGAATTTTTCATAGAATTTATATGACAAGTACCATTTCAACATATGTTGTTCCCACTTAATTACCTCACAGTTGCTCCGCTAGAATGAAGTTTTCGACGTATGATGAAACAAAGATGTGTATTTAGCACAGTGGTATAGGGTGCCCCAAAGTCCACGCTTGGTTCAGTACTCTCCTCTTCAAGCTCACCAAGGCTTCTATCTTCACGGGGTCTGCCAAGTGGTGCTACATTTGTCTCGGAGAGCGAAGATGATGACTCGATTAGATCGGTAGGCTCTGATAACCTTATGAGCCAAATAAGGCAAATATATCACACGTTTATCCATGCCGTCCAGTCAGTTTGGAATACGCACGGAGGAATTGTGCAGAAGAAGAGTACCGTCATGGGCGGCTTCTTGTCCTCATGGCAAGGCTACCGGCCTACTTAAGACTTCGGTTCTCGGCCACTTTTTGGCTCCGCGGTTGTCCCAGCGAACAGTGTTTTTTAAGGTAGCCATATTTATGGCATACACAACATTGACTACATAAATCTTGCAGTGAGAACCGTTGAAGGCGGATGGATAAGATGAACAGTGAAATGGATACCAAAGATATGTGAGGGTACACCTAGACGACCAACCGCCTAAACACGAGGATGTCTTTATACACGACATCAACCAGTTTTATTCATAGAGAGCAGATTTCATTGGATCACGGGGTTGTAGTTACAGGTGTCACTATGGGCAAAACAAACTATCAACGGTGAAACGAAATGTAATGACAGACGCGTCTCATTTGCACATGTCTCCTACTTTTTCTCTACATATCTAATTCTTAGCTATTACCCTCTTTAATCCATGGCTTCCGACACCAAATTCTGTGTGGAGGGCGCATTGGGCTAAAAGTAATTTTTCTCCGATCTCGCGGTGAATCTGTGACTCACCTAGGCCAGAGTGCTTGCTCCGCAAATGATCCTTTGTTTTTTCTATGTTTCAATCTTTCTATGTTCTATATTGATGAAATCTCTGGCTTTCTATATCCAAACTGTCCTTTATGACCTTCTATGTGTCTATATATTTTTTTGCAACACATTAACTCTTGTGGTGAAAAAAACTCGCCCACGATCCGTCAACATTGTTACCAGTATTTAGTTATGTTTTGTAAGATACTTGATACTTGAATGGCCCGTCCTCACTGGTTGTGCGGGTCCCATCATAATCTCCGTTTTTCGAGGAATTGCTGGTTAAGCCATTGTAGTTCCCTGGAATCCCGAAGTCAGCCTGGCCAAAGTTTGCTCCGCGTCTTCACCATTACATGCAGTCGCAGCCCTTGTGGATCAGGAGATTTGCACCATGCGACTATGATAGCAGGACGGTGGTGGATCTTGGTATTGGTTTACTCTTAGCAAGGCTTCCTGATGGAAGCGCCGGTCTCCTCAGTTTGGGAGACCCTGCCGTGGGGACGAATTCCACCGTTGTACATCGCAGTCCCACACCCAGGAACACCACCCAGCCGCAATGAGGTGGTAAATCGTTGGGAGGTTTGTAAGACACGTAGAGTATAAATCGTAAACGAAGTATATACATATACATACATACGAATTATATACATATACATACATACATACGCGCTTATAAACTCGTCTAAAAAACTTCTTTTGTCTGTTTATAAATACACAGTGTTTTTCTGGACAACGTACATCACGATATCTGTGTGGGACAAGCTATTAAATGGGTACGAAAAATGCAGCAAAAAAGCTTTATGCGGTGAAATAAGTTACTAAGTAGAAAATGCGTCCTACATGACTCACCTCGGCCAGCTTGCATGAAAAAAGTGAATTACACATAGGTCACTTTGATACGAATTGATTATTGCCATTTTTTAGCATTTAATTTATCTTGTCATCAAGAGAGGCCCTGTCCACATCCTCAAGTTATTGTAAGGAGATACATTGTTAGAGTACAAATCCTCAAACCAACATCAACACCTTCGTCTTGCGTCAAAAATTTTCCTTCTTCATACTCTTCAAGAGAACATGGCAGGTTTCATATCCAACTTCTTCACTGTCACTTTCGATGGGAGTCGATCAGAACGGAAATGAGAGTACTATGTACTGTTTAGGCGTACCTTCTAGAATATTCTTCAAATCGAGCAATGGCTGTCGTTTCTTCCATAGATTCTATGGACAAAAAAGTCCTCATAAGAGACGCTACTTTTTGAGATTACTATGTTTTAAGGCTGCATACTTTGATGGCCTAAAACTCTCCGAGAGCGATAGAGCAAACTGTTTTTCACAGTTTTGAAATGTTCTCAATCCCTCAGTTAATCTATTTATCAACGAATTTACCAACGTCTGCCGTCGAAAAATCCGCATCGTTCATTGTGTGCTGTGTTCCAATATCGGCAGTTGTCCATGTCTGGAACCGATATGAAATTGCGCATTCTCCCAAGCAGCAGCCACGCTAAATTGAGTGCTGAGAGTTATTTGATGACTGCTTTTTAACTGCTAATTAACCCGCTTCCAGCCTCGCTCCACAATTTGTACTCCGCTTGTCATTAACCGAACTATTATTGAAAATTAATAATAGGAACCACCCGTTGCGATTCATCGAATCGTTAAGGATCTTTCACATTGAGAAGGAGCATGGTACAATGTAGTATTAGCTTAATGACGTAGTGAGAACTAAGGAGGTTACGACAACTTTTAGGCTCGGAGACAAGGCCAAGTTCTCGATAACATGAAGAAAAACTACGTTAAACATGACCCTAATTGAATGATGGGATAAAAGTTTAGAACCGCATTCTAAAAATACTGCACGTCGTTATTGATCCTATGTATTTACATTACCAGAAATCAGACCAGGTCGAATCACCATCATACACCGTTGTTGTGTGCGGAATACAGACTCCAATGATGAATTACTTCATCACAAAATGAACAAAATACTGATACTATGCTGTAAAGATATAACCGGCCGTAGTGTGGCTGAGTTGAGTAGTTCGTCTACTATTTATAGAATCGCGATAACTTGATATGAATGCAGGAAGGTGAGTAGCAACACCATATAAGGGCTTCCTCACCTGGTCAGTATGACTCAGTTCGTCTACTAGCAACTCGTAGGGCGGTCGACATGAGTTGGCTTCCTATCAGCCTCTACAGATGGAGAAGGGGTTTGGTAAGTGAGTCTGATGTTGGCGTAAAGAAATCCTCCTATTTTGTGTACTGACATGTAGAGATGAACACCGGAATGAGAGAATCCGATGTAGACAAGTTTCTTGACTTGTGGGACTATTTAGTGTGGGCTTTCGTTTAAGGTATATGGTAAATGGACTGACATCATAAATGAATGACGTCATCATGGACTGATGGAGGCTTTCGAAAAGCAGGGCCACTAGAGGGCCAACATGTGCTGAAACAAGAACTTAGGCTTTCGCGAATCTTTGCAAAGTATTTGTATATTTCGTTCGATGTAGTACAAATTAGGCAGTAGCAGGCAAATGATTCTGTTCCGTGATCTACTTGGACTCGTACGTCATCCACTGTCATTACAGTCGGCCAAAGGCGATGTGCCTATAGCATCCCAGGACATTATGGACAGACGCACAGAGGGCGGACAAATATCGTAAGGTTCATGACACTCTCGATGAAAAGGGAGAGTTCAGTTTTTCTTTTTCAGATTCAAACTCGGTGTGCGAGCTCCACCGTCGAACTGGGTACAAACGAACAACTACACTTTGTTGAATTTTCTGCCGAAATTCCTCTTCATTCAATTCAAACAAATCGCGAATCTGTATTTTCTCGTTTTGGCCTTTATACAGGTGATACTGGAGCCATAATTAACTATTACAAGTGCAAAGACTTCAGAGTCCTTTTAAGATCTGAAGGCTCTTCCACTACTTCTGCAAGCTGTTGAACAATTTATTCTGAAAAAGCAGCTGTAAATATATCCCGTTTACCTTGCCATTAAGCTTAGTCTTTGTCGTCCATGCTGGCTATCACTGGTTCGCTTTTATTTTCTGAATACAATACTATTCGGATCATCAAGCTTTTATTGCTGGATGGTGGTACATTTCACACCTTGACTATCTACAAATTCAATAACTGACCTTCACCCACCGATCTGAGCATCTAGCGGCTTTATCCAATGCGTAGTTTTATAGACCACCAGTAGTTTGAGGCAATACAGCCTACTGTAGTCAACTTTTTTTCATCAAACAATACCCTATGTCCAGCAAAAGCACAGAGTTATGCCGCCCCACAGAACTTTTTATATTCCAAACTTGAACCAAATAACCCCATGTTAAGTTGCTGCCAGGACTTTCGCCTTTCGGTAAACAAGCTACTCTTGTGCCACTCATGTTCATCATTGGATGTTTGGCCGTTCGAGAAATCTACGAGGATGTGGTGAGTTCTGAACAGATGGTCGACATCGATCGTGCACAAGCGAGAGCATTTCCAGCAACGACGATTTCGGGATCGTAAAATGAATTACCAGAAATGTTGTGCGCACACTGATGAGGGATGGAAAACAGTTCTTTGGTGTGAGGTGAGCTTTGTGTAACGGAACCTTCCGACTCGTGTTCTACGAGCGGCATTCGGTATTATTTAAAATTTTGGTCGTCTTGCTACAAGTATTACGTCTATCAAGCAGGTTTACTCTGCCAAGAAGGAGGGTGTAGCCGTTGGTCGTCAATGCAAATAACTGGCGCATGGAGAAGGTGCCTTGCTCAGCAAACTGAATGGATAGAACGCCACTGAAAATATTAGGCTCACTCGTTTTCTGGTAATAACTGGGAGGAAATCGAAAACTTTCAGCTTCATGTCGGTCAGATAATCAAAGTCGTCAACGGCGAGCAGCTGGCCGCAGATTGTCTTCTACTTGCTACATCCGAATCAGGCTCTGTGGCCTATGTCGAGACGGCAAATCTTGATGGAGAGAGCAACCTTAAGGTGAGCAACCCATGAGGGCAATGCAAGATGACACTTTTTGATGAACCTTCTTATCATTATTACTATCTTGCTATGCATATAGCGCAGTGGTTGGAGGCGCCACAATGCACACAGGATCGATCCCGCGTCCCAAGCCCAGAAGGCTTCTCATACCTCGGCAAATTGGTGCCAGACTTGTCTGGGAGTATAGCAGCACTAGTTCAACACGCCGTTAGGCCACCGTCAGCAAATGTATAAGCCAGAAATGCATCCAGTCACCTCTAACGATGGTTAGTGAAGTTGAATGCATGGCGCATTCCTCAGGGATTGATGAACACCAAGATCTTTATCCTTTATTTATTTTTCTATCACGCCACTACACCTAAAGTTTACTTGTTGTTCTACGTCGTTGCCCAATGCCATATATATTAGTCGAAACGGTGTTCTCTTCTTATTCCTTTTATCATTGCAATTTTTTTGTGTGCCCCTGACGGTTCTGAAGGCCCATCGTTAAGTTTCGTCCAATATCTTGATGACCTGACTGCTTACTCAGTAAGTGATAACAGCATACGTTCCGCTTGTATAGTGATCCTTCAGAATTTGAGGACATTATTGAAAAACATGATGTTAAAAATCTCGTTATTACTATTTAACTTTTTTCTGATGGTAATATCCCTCTTGTACTGATTACGTTCGGTCAGAAACGAAGTAGATTGCCTGAGAGCCCAAAGAAGGCTAGGATTATGAAAAATGGATACGGATCCTACGGTTTTATATTTATATCACAGGGCAATCACCATCGTTCCGTGGTGTATGTGCTAGGCATCGTGTAGGCGAAATCATCAGGCGGATAGTACAAGAGCCAGTTAAGACGAAATGAGGAATGGATACTCATGAGAATGTCTGGGAAGCAGCAATGAAAACAACGGAATCCCGGATTGCCATATTATGCATGCGAGATGGTGATGAAGCAGGTAAAGATGCTAGAGGAGAACGCATGGAATTGCGCACTTAGCTCGAAAGGTGAAAGATGTGTTCGCAGAATCAGCTCACGTTGACGACTAGTAGTTTAAAATAAATACAGGCCATCGATTAAAGTTAGATTTGCAAGGACTATTAGACAACTATTCTGGTTGGATTCCACGATTTCAGCGGTTTTGAAATCTCCGGTATGGATAGCCAACCACCCCCCTACCCCACTCCATAGCGGATCTGTTGAGAAGTGTTTAAGCGATGTGCAGTTATTTTTTTTCAATTTTTTCCCAAAGTGGTTGTTATTATTTTCTTACACGTACATACCTGATTAGGTTGGTCGGAAAGTTTTGCAACATTGTGGACGGATTTTTCAAAACCTAAAACTTAAGAAGTCAATATGCAAAGTAGTCGGTGACTCATCTATCCCACACTTCCAGCGCTCTGAGCTTCTAATAGCATCCTGTGCAAAACCCACATAATATGAAAAAAGGACTTCTCGATTTTATTTCCATTCAGGAAAAATCTTTGAAAGTTTGTTTAGAGATGGCCTTTGACGTTCCATAAAAATAAGGAGTTGGCAGGTACGATACCTGGAGAGAACGGCGAGGACGAAAAGATTTCCGATGCAAGCGGGAACCTTACACACTGAATTCGTGAGATGAGGATACGCGTTATCGTAGCGAGCGTTAACTTTCCACTTAACCATTCGTTTTACGTCATTAGATGGTGGTGATCACTGTAATAGTGGCTGGAGGGAACACTAGGAGCTCCTTCCATTGTATGATATACAGATAGTAAACGTAACTTTCGCATGAGAGCTGAAGATTAGAAATAGATCTTTGAAATAGACGGAGCATACTTAGTGTGACAAAGTGATCACAAGGTCTAAAGAGCATAAAAAAGAAGAAGCAGAACGATAAAACAATGGAGGCCCCACGATTTGCCATAATCGAGCGTCGTCAGAGGTGACTGAATCTATATCTGGCCCACAAAATGACGTGCCAGCTCTAGTGAGATATCAAGTCATTGCTGCTATCCTCTTAGATAAGTTTGGCGGCAGTTTTCCATCTGCAGAGGAATAGAAGGCTTGGTGAGCTTAGGGCGCGTTATCGAACGTAGAGATTCATGCGGTGTGTACTGCGAGGCGTCTCTAACCACTACGCTACACGCTTCCTAAGAAGCGTGGTGTGAGCATAAATAAAGAATGAATGTAGACGGATTTTTCATTGTTATTCACATATTTAGTTTTGCTTCGTCGTTTAGATCAGACAAGCTGTTCCCCTCAGACTTCGCAACAGTGAAAATAGCATGGACGTCGGTTTACATTCGGACTTTACAAGCAAAAAAGGGTTAAAAAGCACATGCTTTAGGAATTTTGGGAAAGTGGTGTTAAGATCGTTTATGATGCACCGAATCGAAAAATTTACGAATTCCAAGGATACATGATCGGAAATTCTCCTTTTCTACAGCAAGCACCCGAAAGCAATAGCAACAGCACTGAGACGCCTTGTGGGTTTAGATAATTTCCGCAAATTCTGTGACACTTGTGGATCGATTGTTGCGCTCCAGTGGAATTTGGGATACGAATATCGAACCTTTATAGATACGCCGACGAAAACTGGGCAACAAACCCAACCGTACACGATGGTTCCACTGTGTCAGTTGATTTTTCGCTAATCATTGTAAGAACTGCAACAAAATATATTCTTCTAGCGAACGCTCAAGTAATTCTCAGAGGAGCACGACTCAAAAACACTGACAACATCTACGCAATCGTCTTGTACACAGGACATGACACTAAGTTGTTTATGAATGGCATCAAGAGAGTTATGAAGAGGTTAGGTACTTTTGCTTTGGTTTTGAAAAGGAATCTGAATCGCATTTACGGATGAAGCATTCCTGACCGCTGCGGTCTGGTACACTGCGTGTCGTTGGAGACGGCAGCAATTATACGTATGTACTGAGAAATCGGCCATGCCCTACAGTTTCTATAGAGGTACGGCATAAGTCGAGTTTTATTTGCAGCTCCCTTCTTGCGAGTCTGACCAACTCCGTTATGTTGACGCAGTTCGGTATAGTTCTGTTGCTCTGTTTGGTACACGCCATCTTGAGTCGGGTCGCTCAACCGATTCCCTTCCTCGTGACGCAGTTTTCCAATCATTTTGACGGTAAGAAGACATCGAAGTAACTTTAGTATTTGTACAACGATTGAATGTTATATCGCAAAAGGAGTACAAGGTGTCAACGTTTCTAGAAACTAAATGAAAACAAAGTGTTTGGATTTCGATATCCTCTGAGCTAAAAATTTTCAGACTCCCTCTTCTCCATCTTCCTTCAGTGCCTCGTGTTGTTCAGCGGATTCATTCCGATATCTCTCTACGTCACTCTTGAAATGGTTCAAATTATCCAGGGGATGTTCATTCATCATGTACGTCTTGTTTTAAGGCCTCTTCATGCTAATATGCATACCGGTAACATTTAGGACAAGAAAATGATCGATGAGGATGACCGAGCCCCCGATGTGAAAATGGTCTCACTAAACTCCGAACTAGGAAATGTCAGTGAGAATATCAATTTTCTATTTTAAAGGTTATGTGCCATCGGCTAGCTCAGAGGTTTTCACCGCTTGTGAATAGATCTATTTTAAACGAAGATGGTTCCTTTTAAAATGTTTTCGTTGTGATTCTGCTGTACCTGAAGGCTTTGAAATCGATAGCAGTTCTATTTCTATGATACCAGCAATATGAATTTTGCTTCGTCGAGGCTTGGTGACAAGAGTTCCAGTAAATCTTTAACTTAATATGTAAAAAGTAGGGCGGATATCACAGTGATAGTGGTGTCCGTTATCACGAGCATGGTGCTAGTGCGATTCCGCTTCGGGCCAACCAAGCCTCTCATCCCTCCGAGGTCGGAAATTGGTACGGCTTGTCTGGGAAAAAAATCACTCTTTGCAATCTACTTGGGAACGCTCCAGCCTGGCTATTCCAGGACTCTGGGGAGAATCAACTCGACTAGCATTCTACGACATTCAAAATGAAATGAAAATCCTGAAGCAGCAACGAAAGCCACACGTAAAGTTGGAAGATCTTCGTGGCTAATGGATGCGAGAAAACGAATCGAATGTGAGAAGTGCTGGGATCCGCACCGTAGACGTGAAAACGGGTCAAATAAAACAAAATAACATAAAAAAATATGTAAAGTACTGTCCCAACTGATGGAAATTAAGAAAAAACTTCAAAGTAGTTCTCGTAAGAACATATTTCCATTTCCCTGTACTCGCTTCCGATTTTGGGAGTTCATTACCATCAGTTGCCATCAGTTAGCAGATAACGATGATTTAGGTGAAGTACGTGATGTCAGACAAGACGGGCACCCTGACGCAGAATTGCATGAGGTTCCGCATGTGTTCTATTGGCGGAGTGAAGTACGCGAATCGGAAAAGAAGAAGGGAGACAAAATTCTCGCCAAATAAGCTGATTTCGAATATCGCCAGCAACGAAATGGTGGGCAAACAACAGACGTAGACGGACAGTTAGTCACTGCTAGAGACCAACACCAGAGTACTAAAGTGGCATCAGAAGTACTCAATTCTCGAATTCACTGCACCAAAATAACCACTTTCGGTCACACATGGTTCCTTTCTGTGATTCGGGTAGTAGCAGTAGATTTGTCGAACAAAATCAACAATAAATAGCACTAGCAATAGCTTCGAACAATAAGTACATAGAATGCAGCATTTTTAGAAATCCTCAACTTAGAAAAAACCCTGAATTGGTGAAAGTTGGAGGTTGTATAACGGTAAGGAGTGTTCTGCAATACTTAATATTGTCACCGGTACGACTTCCTCAGGAGCAATCAGGTCTGCCGACTCCATGGTGCCAGGAAAGTGGCACCAGGTTCCCAATAATCTACAGGGAGATCTACACATCTCATCACTCTAATATAGCGATTTTCTCGATCACATCTTATGCGTCCATGAACGATAGCGACATAGAATGACTGGTTCTTGGGTAAAGAGACTGAATAGAAAAGAACAGTTACAAACGATGACGACTTCTGTGTACGCGCCGCCTGCATTTTAACCGACTAGCATTGTGGAAATGCATTCTCTTCGATTCCATCCAATGTCACTTTGTATTCGGCAAAGGTAGGCGCAGAAGTTTTCTAAACTACTCTATTTCTGGGCAAATATTATACATTATTGATGAATTCTTTCTGAGCCTTCCATTGATACCAGTGCACGATTGCATGACCTTATTTCGCTCACTTAATATCCTCAAGCCTCTCACTTCAATGACTTACCGTCTAATAATGGTAAAGGTTGTCGAACTGTGTTGAACAGCATGGCTTTATTCTTCTGCGAGGTCACGGACTTAGCGGACCTCGAAAATTCCACCTAGAAACCCACCTAGAAGTAATCCTATGCTAGAGAGTCACTCTGTCCTGAGAAAACCACCATCGTGTACTGTCTGCGATGACATCAAAAGAACACATCTCAAGGCCAAAAGGCCAAATCGGTATTCTAAAGAAGGACTTCTTGCCTAGACAGCAGAATGGTTGTCAAATAGAAATTGAGCTTCAAAAAGACTGGTCATCTAAGTAGGCTACCGAGGTATATTTTCAAGCACATGTAACTAATGTGAGAAAACAAACCACTAGGGCGGTTTTAGCAACACAACTACTCCATATCTCAACGATGACATTTGAGCTCTGAAGGATTATCAATTTCTTCAGACATAGAATTCTTATACCTAAGAGCCTTCTTTAAGTTATTCATAAAGAAATCGTAAATACATACGCATATAGTCAGTTCTTTCCATGGCGAGATTCTTACGAGTAATTTTTCTCGTGATCGCCTTGTTTCCAGAAAAACGCGGAGAAGATTCGCGAGTTCCTGACAGCATGCGCGATATGCCACACCGCCTTTCCAGACAAGAACACTGCCACCGACGAGCGACCCCTCTATCATGCTACTTCTCCTGGTATGATTTAAATGAGATCTTCGCTCTTAATAACTAATCTGACTGGGAAATGGACAACAGTGTTAATCTTGTAGGAGAGACATCTCTGAAATCAACGGATATTTCACTAGTGTTGGGCCACATATATCACATCTCTAAACATTTTTCTACACTGGCTGTTGCATTTCATATACGTCATAGGCTTTTGAACCAAAAAACAAAGATTAAATTGTAAAGAGAATCACTTGTCAACTTCTAAACTTTCACAAGACGATAGCAATGCTATCGAGAAACCACCAGTTTTCGTTCCAGACGAAAACGCTCTTCTTAATTTCGCATCGGATGCTGGTTTCGTTTTCAAGAAACGTTCTGCAGGAAAAATAATAGTAAATATGGTAGGTGAGATTAAAGAAAAGGACAGCTACTGAACTCGAACCCTCTTTAGATGGGAACGAAGCTCGAGTTCGAACTAGCGGCGATCCTCGAATTCGACTCTGATCGCAAGAGAATGTCGGTGATTGTTAAGGAAATGGGAGGGAAGTATAAACTGTACATAAAAGGAGCGGTAAGTGGATAGTTAAAGATCAAACTAGCAGTCAAGTCTTTTTATCGACTATCAACTATCGAAAGAGTGTTGATGCTGAACTATTCACACCTCTAAATAGAACATTGATGATGGCCCGCATCCTGCGGCTGAAGGAGTAGAGCTGCACTGCTTCTCGCATTATTGTGCTTTTCGCGGGGAATTCGTCTTCATCACCAAGAAACGGCTGTAGCGAACACCAGTTACTACTCATCACTGCTATTTGAAGCATTTTATCTAAATAAACTGAGATGTTCAAAACCGTGAAGCAATAGTTGTTAGCGAATGTGTGCTGTTCAAGACATTGATGGTCATTTCATTTGAGATCGAACTTACTAACTTGAACACCGTTGAGTTGAACTGTGTACTGAAACAGTTGCAGGACTATAAGATTTTCGACCGGCTTAAGAACGTTTCTAAGAAAGAATTAAAGCGAACAGCGGGACATTTACGGCAGTTTGCGATTGGAGGTTAGTCTAATTAGTTAAGGAATGACTGAAAAGCTGTAAAAATCAAGTTTTCGTTCATTGTTTTATGTAAACTATCGGCTTATTCAGAAGGCATTTCCCTCTTCAACTCTAGTTGAAAAAGGTCACGTAATGGCTAATTCCCAAGCTATGTGAAATCAGAGTGTTAAAGATGACATTTAGTGATGCAATCAATATATCTTATCTGGATTGGCAGCTTAAGTGTCAGCAAAGACCTGGCCATTTCGCTGTGAACGAAATTTCAATGCAACTCTTTTTAGGGTACAGAACACTGTGTTTTGCCATGAAGACCATTGATGACGCTATTTTTGCCGAGTGGTACAAACGATACAATGACACCATCACTGATATATCAAATAGGCGCCAGAAACTGGCCGAACTTGCCGAAGAAATCGAGAAGGTACGACAAATATGGTCTGCCAAAGTGATATGTTTGCTTTCACCACCGCCAGTGAAATGAATTCAAGGCAGCATCCAATTTCGCTTAAGCTTCTCTCCTGTGTCTCCAGTGTCAGCTCAAGGCTACTGTGGCTTTTTTTTTAACCTAACCTGACAATCTGAATCAGTCAAAGGGCGCGCATGGCACAGTGGTCGTGGGAACCCTGCAACACACACGTGAGGTCGATCTCCGCGCCCATGGCCCACCAAGCCTTCCATCCCTCTGGGGTCGGTGAAGTGGTACCAGACTTGTTTAGGAGTATAGCGGCACTGGCTCGATACATTGGCAGGCCACCGCGTGTCATTCTAAGGGCCAGATATGCATTCAATCACTTCCAAACGATGCTTAATGAATTATTTATTTATATGATCTTATAAATTGATCTTTCTTAGCTGATGCGAGGTTGGTATAGGTCTTCGTTGTAGTTGTCGTTGTTGGTCCATAGCTGACTTTTCGGCGATTTCGCCTTCCTCAGAGCTGTGATGTTACTAGTTGGGACTGGCCAGTTGATAAACGCTGAGAGCTTTATCCTTTTTATCTTTTAACGTGATAATCACAAATAGTACGAATATCAGCATTTCTTGCATGTGTTCGAAGAGAGCTCTTTGCAGACAAATCTAACAGATTTTTCCGAAGCCCGAGAGTTCGCAACTTGATTGGTTCAGGACATGGTTAGGCCAGTCGCTCGAGCGTACTAAACGGCTATCATAGTTGTCAATAGTAAATAAAACCCTGAAATGTTTCACATAATCAGTTTCTGCCTCAAGCTCTTTGAATATTGAAACCTCAGTTAAATAAAACACATTTAGGCTAACCGTTGTTTTGTCGCTGCCTTCGTTCGTTCTAAACCGATAGGAAGGCATTAAACTCATACTTTGAAAATTCTTAAGAAATTCTTCCTGGAAAAGCGATTTAATGCTAGGTTCATATACGCTATGAACGGTCAGATTTTGGTATTCTGTTAGGAAGTTTCTGATTGTAGGATGTATCTCTCACAATTAATCCACCAGTAATGCAGCATACGAATCCCATAGCTTTTGGCTCAAATCTGAACCAACGTGTGTTTAAATTGTTGAGCTTACACGAGATTGATAAACAGACTTTATTCGGCTAACGTTTCGACGTCTTCGTCTTCATCAGAGCAGGTGATCCGAATTGGTGGTCCACAGTTATTCATCTTCGCGATGTGGCGTCTTCTTCTTCGTACCGAGTCGGATCTTCCTCAGTAGAACACCTCTCAAATGCTGTCAGCTCACACTGATTGTCGTAATATTCAGCCTCGTCATAAGCCGACCGGATATATTTGAGCTTCTTCACCGGACAACTACCAGCTTCATATGGCGTTCGGTTCCATTCGTGGCAATTAATTGTGTTTATTGATGTTCAGTTTTGTTATACACTTTCCACCCTTTATTTGAAAATACAGCTTCAGTTTTGAGGAATTAGAGAAAGACAACTCTATTTCGCCTTTTGCTTTTGTAGCAGGAAGGCGGCATGTCAGAAATACTCTTTTAATTGCACCACTTCGTGCCTTATTCGATTCCCATTACTACCGAGTATTTAAAAGTTGTATATCTTCGGAAACAACTGTCCAAACTTTTAGGATCTCACTCTGATCGGGGTGTCTGCGATCGAGGATCGCCTACAGAAAGACGTTCCCCAGACGGTGGCACGTCTGCTGTCGGCAGGAATTCGGGTCTGGGTTCTTACTGGTGATAAATTGGAAACAGCGGTAAATATTGGTAGGTGTTGAACACATAGAACAACTACTTTACCATTTTAAACTTTTATGACTGTTAAAGATACGACAAGGAGAAATAATCTTCATATGCAATCCATTACATATTTGTTAAGTCTACTACACCATCGAATTGGTTCTAATTCGAAACAACTTTGAAAATACTCTAGAATTGCAGGAAACTCGTGTCGTCTCCTGTCAGCTCGGGCTCCCATGATGGTACTGTCATCAACAAATTCGGCCGGAGCTAAGGAAGAACTTAGTGAGTGGAATGGTGAAAAATTCTTCCATAATCTCTCTGAAACGGTACTCTTCCAAGCTGCTTGCTAGCCTATTCTGATGCATGGGTTTACACTGATGTGGCCATTGATTATCGAACATTCAGAAAATCCAACATAGTTACAGTTAAATATCTGAAAATGCTCGGCAAAGAGGGACTTGCGCGGCGGGACCAGGACCTTTCGCTAGTTGTCGACGCTACTGTACGTTCATGATTTTTTGACTTCTGAATTTAGGCATATTACGAAACGATGCATATATAGCTTATGAAAGCACCGAGTGACAATGGAAATTGTAGGATAGACAGCGAAACAGAACAGATTAGAATAGAATAGAATGGAGTAGAATAGAATGAATATAGCCGAGTAGAACAGATGGAAATGGTAGCGAAACATGGCAGGTTTCTTGCAATGCTCGCAACCATTACAGCTAGGTAGCGGGCCATTACATTGTACAAAACTCATTTACCACAATCTGTCCAATCTCATCATGGTTGGAGTAGACATTTTTCCGGTGACCGAAATGCGATATACAAGTGGGGTCCATTCCTCAGCAAGTTCTCCAAATCTAATGAAATCAATAATCCTATCAGGAAATCAAACTAAATAAATCTATGCCATAACACAGTCTGATGGGTTACTCGTTACTAAATACTCTGCTTGCAAGAAGAAGTTGAAAAGTCAGCCGAAAAAAAATTTTATTGTGTCGTTCAAGCAAGCTCTGTCCACTGAGCAGCTTTGGAGCGCTACGAGGATGAATTGGATTTAGTGGTGTTCACTCAACTTAATCAATGATTAACAGAATCACGGACACTACTATATGTAATATTTGCCGTTAATTCACAAGAATTAAATAGGACAATGAAGAATGTTATCTACATTTTACCACCCCGATCCATTCGAGAGTCTACTTTCACACCATATCAGGAAGGACTGATATGTCGTCCCAAGTGGTCTCGTTTTCGATATCTGACGTAGTGTCTCGTATGTGAAGGGCCACATTGCACCTTGTCTTAACATCGTCATAAATTAGAAAATTGGAAAGCGTTCACTTTTTAAATTTACCCTCGAGAAGATGCTGTTACCGACAACATTAAGTCGAGTGCACTAGACGTCATCCCACTATCATCGACTTGAAAAATCAGTCGGGCGATCTCGTTGACAAAGCAAAGTTCTTCCGTGGACGATACAGCTACACTACTTCAGACATGCAACCGCTTTGTCGTTCTAAAGCATCGTCATTACAACAGCGAAGAATGGCGCATACATGACGCCGCCATCTCGCAAAACTTGTACATCATCACTCTAGAGAGCGTCGTGAAGAGGTTGGAATTGGATGACAGGATGTAGATGTCCGTGATCTGTAGCCTCATTAACTCCATTTTGATGATAATGTCGTTCTTACTACATCAGGTATTAGCCGGGCGAAACGAATGTTGTGCTGCCTGCTTTCTAGTGAGCTTTTGGACCTGGTCTTCGATTGAGTTGCAAGAAGAGAATGTTTATGAGGAAAGGATTCGTTTCCGATGTTAAGTTTACGTTCAAAGAAATGAGCATTTTCGAAAGCTACATCCGTATATACCTATAACAATGTATTGAACAACTTTGCGTCAGAGCTGAACAAAAAGTAACGAAGGCCTTGATAGGCATTCACGATTATCCAAGGTTTAATGAACAAGCTGTACCGTACCTACACTTCCCGCCTTAACGTATACTATAGGAATGAGCGCACCTTACTGGCAGAATGAAACATCGGTCGGCATTTTCGGACGCACTATTGGAAGAGTGAGGCTAGGAGTATATCGTACTAGACAAATAAAAATGGAAATTCAGTATTACAACCCATGTCGACGGCTAGTGACCAGCGACGATGTTGTCTAAGAAGATATCAAAAATCATGTTGACTGAACAAAGTATGCTTCTTAAAATAACAGGCGGACATGAGATATTCATGAGATGTTGGGGTTTCGGTTTCAAGGTATGTTAGTGATGAGAAGATCGTTAATCCGATAGTCAGAGGTTTAATAAAGACCCTAGATGAAAAATATGATGCTTTTGGTTCCTATCAAGCTCACTAAGTGCGCAATAAATATGAGTGATGATTGTACTGGGGCTCATTTGAATCACTTATCTATTAACAGAAAAACAGGCCATGTATACTTATACATATGTATATATATGTATATATATGTATATATATATGTTTACCTAGTAAATTTTAAAAAGTAGTAAGCGAAGGTGAAATAACGTTCGGTAAATGTCCCTGTCATCAGTGTTTTGAAAATAAATGATGCTAACCTTGGCGAAGTTGTTGTCTGTGTTGTTGAATACTTGATACTTGGTGCTCGAACGGCCTCTTCTCACTGATTGTGCGGGCCGCAGCACAATCACCATCTATCGGAAATTTGCTGGTTATGGGACTGTGGTTCTCTGGAATCCCGAGGTCAGCCTGGCCAAAGTCTGCCCCAGGTCTTCACCACTACGGGCAGTCGCAGTCCTTGTGGATCAGAGGGAGATTTACCACCATGCGGCTTTGATACCAGGACGGTGGTGGTTACTAGTATTGGTTTACTCTTAGCTAGGCTTCCTGATGGAAACGCCGGACTCCTCAGCTTGGGAGACTCTGCCAGGCGATGACTCCCCCGCTGTACATCGCGGTCCGACACCCTGGAGCACCTCCCACCGACGATGAGGCGGTAAACCATTAGGAGGTGCTGTTGAATACAATATTATAACGTTTACTTTTTTATTTACTTCCTACTACAATTTTCACGGAAAGGTATTGCGGAAAGAAACCACAACGATGCTGAGACATTAGCAAAAGTTGGACCCCCAGACCAGATCGAACCACGATTTCCCTTTCTGGAGACTTGCTCATTACACACCGCGCCATGGAGGTCCTTGCTCTGCGTTTCTCTCAGCTAGTTTACAATATTGCATTTTACTAGCGAGAAAAAATCGGCAGTTTAAAGGGAAAACTTTTGGTTACTTTTTATCCACTGACTACTATTATTTTTCACGGCAAGCTGTGATGTGAAATACAATCGCTGTAATGCTGAGATATTTATTTAATACTTACTTGATACCCGAATAGTCCGTCCTCACTGGCTGTGCGGGCCCTAGCACAATCTCCGTTTTTTGAAGATTTGCTGGTTAAGCCTTTGTGGTTCCCTAGAATCCCACGGTCAGCCTGGCCAACGTCTGCCCGAGGTCTTCATCACCACAGGCAGTCGTAGCCCTTGTGGATCAGAGGGAGATTTACCACCATGCAGCTTTGATACCAGGACGGTGGTGGATCCTGCTATTGGTTTACTCTTAGCTAGGCTTCCTAATAGAAACGCCGGACTCCTCAGCTTAGGAGACCCTGCCAGGTGGATAAATCTTCCTGCTGTACATCGTAGCCCGACACCCAGGAACACCTCCCAGCCACGACGAGATGGTAAACCATTGGGAGGTTATATTTTACATCACACTCTGCTGTAAAAAATATTAATAGGCGTAAAAAGTTAACATTGTGATTTCGACTACAGCCTCAGCTTGACTGGGTTCAATGCCGATTTGTGCTTCTCAGATCATTCCCCTTACGGATGATTGCTGATGGCACCGTTAGGAAAAAACTGAGTGAGAGAAGTCGAAGCAGAAAGCCTCAGTGGTGCAGTGGGTAACATGTGAACACCAAAAAGATTAGTTGATTACTCAGTCTTGTGTGGAATGCAAGCCTTGCAAATGTCTCAGCGCCACAGTGGAGAAATTCCGACTTTTTTTGTGATTGAGGCAAAAGTTCTAGCCGTTTTCTGACATGTGATGGGCTTAGGGCAGTTGGTAATGATGAACGATAGCGAAGGATATGGTTCATAGTGTTTACTGGCTTGGTATTACTGCTCATTCATGCTCCATTCGCAAGTGTTCTAATGTGGGTATACGATAGGGATTGCAGAAGTCGGCCTTCTTATAAATAAAAAACAACGAAGGAAATATTTTAATAAAGGTTGTGAGAGCAGTAAGAGACACCGGCGTGAATTCCTTTCGTGGCTTATCTCATTACGAATTCTGAACTTAATTACAGGCAACTGATAAGACTTGTGGTTAAGGAGATTTCAAATCCTTGGCCATCGGTACAACGTTAGCACATTGTGATCTCAAAAATACACTGGTGTTCTTGACGGGATTTCAGCTTATAGCGAAAACTAACGTAATCGTTGCAGTGTTTGGACTACATACTGGTCGACGACACAGGCAGAGATCGTTTTCTGAGCTTAGCACTTTGCTGTTCAGCAGTGATTTGCTGTAGATGCACGCCGATTCAAAAGGTTCATTCATTGCGATAGGATGAGTTAATTTCTCTTTGGCTTTTCCTGACAACTAAACACCGTAGGCTACTCAGTGATTCGGCAAGAAAATATGGATACTCACATGGTTTTTGTGGTAAAGAAAATCTTCTTTTGTTAGTGTACGTTCTTACTAGAAGTCGAACGCTGTCATTACCCAATAAGCTTAAGAGAATGGATTTCGAAGAAGAACTTCATGAGAGCAGTCTGCAGCTGCTCTCATGTTGCGTCGTCATCTCGAGGTGTTAGCAATGAAATCCTTGTTCTTCTGTAGTACTCCTACTGGGCACATTATTACAGAATCTCTGTTCAAAGTACTTCATCCTAGAATTGGCATTTACTTAAAGAAATGGCGTTTGCGACAGTACTTAATCTCCGAATTAACAGTTCCTTCATTAAGCACCTGAATACCACATGCCAAATTGCAGGCTGCCGTCACAAGACTTGTTAAGGCAAACGTGAACGGGGCAGTGCTAGCAATAGGTGACGGAGCCAACGACGTAGCAATGCTTCAGGTTTGTGATTTCTCTTCATCTTCGTTGATTATCCGGAACACTGAGACGCAGCCGCGATCTTGCTGCAACCCAAAACATTATCCAGGGTATGACATAAGTTTGTCGCAACTGAAATATGGCAGCGTGTTCAGGGATCAATTCAAAGACAAAGTCCAAATCGTGAGCTCAGCACGTGGATTAGCGCTAGGCTTCCTTTTTTTGGGTCTCTGCAAACGCTGGGGAGTGAGCTTCGTCAGAGCAACCGTAAACTATTGCTAAGGGATTAGCGGCTGCTTAAGAAAGTAATAGCTTGTCTTTTCAGCTCTATGCAATTCCTGACAGGTTATTTCTTATTTTTGTAAGCTATTGTTAAACATGAAACGTCGTTTTCCGTAAATATTCCATATGTCAGCTTAGAAACATACAAAAAAAAACCATTTTGTTTAGGAAGCCGACGTAGGAGTTGGGATTGCGGGTCAAGAAGGCATGCAGGCATCTCTTGCGTCTGACTACACCATCACCCAGGTGATCTTCTGGGTTTATAGCCCTCTACCAATTATACGCCTACCTTTGTTTTCTGTTGAACTCGGCAATGAATGAATAAAAGAAAGTTGTAAATGAAGTTTGAACTTCTATGTTTTTGAAAGCCAGATCGTTTCTCAGTGACACTTCAGGACTTCCCTCATATCGGGAGCATGAGTCTGGCTCGTTGCTCTGAGGGAGCTTTTAATGTTTGCCTTTGCAGTTTCACCATCTCGATAGGCTGCTGTTCGTCCACGGAACGCTTTCCCTTTTCCGTTCATCGAAGTGTATCCTGTTTTCGCTGTACAAGAACGTGCTCGAAACCTGCGTCCTTGTACGTTATTGTGTTAACTCTTAAAATTATCCTTCTTTACAACATCACAGTGGCATGGCAGTAGCTTTGATAACAAGTCGCTATGTACAGAAGAGGTGAACGCCTCTGTGAAGTGCTCTAATCTTCAGACGGTTTCGGCTTCCTTGTGAAACCAAAATGCCAACCTCAAGTGAAAAAATACTACCATCATGATCCTTTTTTAAACCCCAGGTGTTCAGACCCAAATTTCGTCTTCTGGAAATGTCACAGAATCGTACTGTTCATGGCTGCTACTCGACAGCCATTACCAATTTGACGAAACCCTTCGTCCATTTCAGCCACTCCTTGTTAGGTATTGCAACTGTTCTGTTAAGATGAAACGACAATTCTTCCACTAGCCTTTTCCACTCATTCATCATCTACCATCTTCGCGTCGGCTGGTTTATAAGAAGACTGAACTGAACTTTGCTACCTTTACTATGAAATTGTTCAGTACTGTAGATTTTACTCCTTGCGCATTATTTCACTCATGGTTTTAGTGAAGAAGTAACAATTAAAGTAACAATGTGAAGAAACAGAAGTTTCTTTTCTACTAGTTTAGTGTTTTTAGGTAAGTATGTACCGGTATCTTTTTCATGGACAATAAAATTCTTATATGCAGTTGCGGTTATCAACGATTTGGATTCAAATGTATTGTTACAGAGCTCATTCACGTTTTATAATGGCCAGAGCGTACAGACGGTGGCTTATGAATGGACCGTTCTTAACTACAATATGCTGTTTACCAGGTAAGCTAACGTTCGCTTCAGCTCGATTTTACACCAAAAAGAATAAAAGGATAAAGCTCTCGGCAAATTCCTGAGGGATGCGCCATGCGTTCGGCTTCATTAAGTATCGTTGGAGGTGACTGAATGCATTTCTGGCTTTTACAATGACTCGTGGTGGCCTACCGATGTATCGGGCCAGTGCTGCTATCCTCTCAGACAAGTCTGGTACCAATTTACCGACCCCGGAGGGATGGAAGGCTTGGTGATCCATGGGCGCGGAGATCGATTCCAAGTGCGTGTGGCAGTGGCGTTTCCAACCACTTCGCCACACGCCCATCGATTTTGTACTAGCGTCAAAAATCCTTATCACAAGATCTCATCACGCTGAAAAAAATTTGCTACTTGGTATCTATCCATCTATGCTTACGATAAAAGAAAGCCTGTCGGACAGCTCAATAAGTGATTGCTGTACATTCTCCACCTTAAGACTAACAAAGCCTTTTATCATCCGAGAATTCGCAACAGACATTCCAGAAATAAAGATATTTACATGTTCATTGGCTGGCTGACTACCTATACTTTCACATCACGTGAGAGGTCTTGAGTCCTTTAGTCTTGAAGCTACGTGGCGTGACGATGCGGTTAATAGAGAGTGAAATGTATACTAAAAGTAACCACTCCTTTCTTTGAGACGTAATGCGAAGCAATGTATCCCGTGTATTTACGACATTTGATACACCTAGTGCACGCTTAACTATGTCCATGCATTCATGTGTGAATGCTCTGTAGTAGGTTTAGAAAGTAGTATGCATTTTGATTTGGTTAAAATTTGAAATCTAGTGAAAAGACTCTATGCACCGCTCCATACGTGGGAGAGGGCCAGCGTAGTTCAATAGAAAAAACTCCTATCTTTCCCGCCTGGCTGCATACAGAGAGGTGTGGTGCGGTTTATCTCACATCGACACTAGGGCACTGTAGTACTTTGGAACAGGTATCATATTTCATAGAAGAGTAGCTAGAAGATCAGGATAGAATAACGGAGGAAGACGAACGGAAACTTTGCTGATGACCACATGAAAAGCGCGATCAAGTGTAGATGTGAAGATGATTAGATGAACTGCACGGGCAGTGTAAGCAGATCTAATAGCCATTGCCTCACCTTTAAAAAGATGAGGCCTCAACTGAACAGCACATTCCAGTGAAGTTGCAGCGAATTTGAATTGAATGTGATCTTCGACCCCTATTTTTTTACTCGTAAGCATATCAAATGCTTTCGATATGAAAATGTAGAAAAGAAACTTCGAAAAAATGTTATTCTCTCTCGCCCCAAAGACCATACTTGTCTTTCTCGTCCCGCCTAGTAGTACGTGAGACACTGATACGATTGCATTTAGCTGTTTCATAGTATTTTAGCTTTCCGGCTCTTATTATGGGCGTGATCGATCGTCCAGCTCCAATCACCAGCCTCATCAAATACCCACAAATCTATCAGTACTATCAGGACTCCCTCAGCAACACAGTGAGTCTTACGAGGTTTACAAACAGTGCTTTGACGTTCGGTTTTACAGTTCATGTGATTTAGGGTCAGTTTCGATGGTGTGTTTGTGGCGCCGTCCAAGCTTTCGTCATCTTCTGGGTGAACGTTTATAACTGGGATGTTGGCGGTAGGTAATGAAGCTGTAGCAATACCACTAATATAGTGATGCTATTATTGAAACGTTTAAAAGCCGAAAATGAGTCATTTTCTGTCCAGAGCTCCTGGCGGTGAAATTGTAGGCGAAAATAAAGTAATGCAAATGCGTAGAGGTTGTCTTTTCTTTACCTTTCTAAACTTTTCTTTATAGCTCCTCTTCATTCTGATCACGGTCAAGACAGCACTTTGTGGGTGTTCGGACTGTTCATCTATTGCTGTCTCGTGCTAGTCGCGAATCTGAAGGCCTTGCTCGAGACAAACTCAATCACTTTTGTGAGTTAATTGGTGCTTTTCAGAATACTTTCTTCTACATCTCCCAATGGCTAACCAAACGCTCCCACCAATTTGCGAAATTGCATACTTATATTAGTCTTTTAAATATGTGTCCTTTCTTTGCTAAGCTTACATAAAGTTGGTAAATAGATTTATTTCGGCGAACGTTTCAATATCTTCGACTTCATCGGAACCGATGATCCCAGTCGATAGTCTACGGTTCTTCTTTGTCTCGATGTGGCCTCTCCGCCTTCGTATCGAGTTGTATCTTCCTCAGTGGACCATCTTTCGAATGAGGCATGCTCACTCGACGACCCGTTTTATGTAAGATGCTGATGGTTGATAGTAGTCATGGTCTGGTGATAACAACTTGTTTTACTCGGACAATCAGTCCTGCAGAACTCGGAACCATTATCAGCTAGCAAAGAGCAAAAATAATATTTCAAAACCGACTTTCCTTTAGCCTCGATATGTCTAACCAATATGTATCCCTTCTTTGGTAAGCTTACACGAGGTTGGTAAGTAGATTTATTTCCACTAACGTTTCAACGTCTTCGTCTTCGTCGGTTCTTCCGCAGAAATTAACAAGAGTCCAACAAGAGAGTTTCCATTTTTATTTCGGTCTTCTCTTTGAAATTTCTCGATTCTGTTTCTGTTTTCGCTGTTCTTTTATATTACGGCATTTGTCTCCGTCAACAAGTTTATCGAAGATCTTATCGTTGAGTATTACTTCTTTCAACTGAGATAGAACCATCCAGTACGCTCTCGTCAGCTCCGTTGGTCGGTAGGTGAGTAACAGTTGACACCGATCTTCGTGTGATTCGAAGACGGATGACCTCCATGCGTCCAAGCGAATGTAAACGATCTCATATGACTCGATAAGATGGGTAATGGTGGGATGGACAGGCAATCCTAGTTTTACACTCTAGTTTCTCTTTCACTCATAGTACAGTAAAAAGTAGAACTAGAGACTTCTTGGTAGAGAACTAGAGACAAGTAACATACCATTTTCACGTTACACTTTACATTTCAGGTTTCATTGGGTATTGGAATAGTTTCCGTCTCACTGTTGGTGCTCAACATACTCTTTGACACATTTGTTTCCATTGTAAGTCAGTTTCGCACTTATATTTGTAACGCGTAACGTCGTAGTTCTTTTGCTCAGACCTTAGCCATTCGAATGGAATAGAAATGTGCACTATTGTCAACACACTTTCTCTGGAAATACTCTCGCTTACAACGTGACCTTTGTTTTCTATGATAAATCTAGACCAATTTCAGTACATTCCTCTCATTTCGCCAGCTGTCGCAGGAATACTGCTCGTGATGCCGCTCACCTCCCTCTTCTTCGTCATTGTCCTGGTCATAATCGCTGCTCTGGTTCCTGACATGGCACTGAAAGTGTGAGTTCTGGTTTTCGGTGGAGGAAATGTGGTACACGGTGGTATCTTCTCTTCTAGCTCTGGGTCATAATGCTCTATTTTACGCTGCTGTGGAAAAGTAATACCTCCGCGCCGAAATGTTACTAAGAATTTTAATTCTAGTTTGGAATTGAAACTGACCTCACAGTTGGACAGCATTCATGGTCCGACATGCCCTAACTAGGGTTATTTATTTGTCCTATTTTTCCAAATACCATTTGACAAATGAAGTATTGACGGTGGTCAAAGCTCTTTCGCGCTGACGGCGGTCAACCACATATCAACGCGACGTAAATATCTATGTATCACTGCTAATCATTTGCACATTATCAGAGCATTAGACGTATTCACCCCAGACAGATACCTTAGTGTGTTGGTTTCTCATAAAGTTCCTCAATGCTACAACCGTCTTTTGGCAGATAATAAGCACAGCTATCCACACGGCTAAAGCGTCTGTTTACATTTCTGCGCAAGCAACTGGGAAGAAGATGCGAATGTGAAGCTATGGGTTTCTCATCCGAACTGTGACTTTCTCTAGAAACACGAAATCTACACACATGAACTTTTTGACTACTATCGACTTAACGCTCTTAATTGTAGTTGTAAATGACCGTACATGGTAACAGTGACGGCATACATTATCATTATGTAGCTGCTCTGTGGTAATAACTTGCTTAGACACTGCATCTTTTCCTTTGAAGGTATATTATCGTGCAGATCGAAAAAACGGGTAGTCCATAATTTTGAAATCGAAGGAAACCGGCCGTGTTGTCTTCAGTCCTTGAACTTGTTCCGCTCTTCATATTTTTGCTCGCAATTGGAAACTCTGCCATCCAAATTTTTGTCGGAAAGGCATATTTGGCACAGTTTCGTAGCTTGTTTACAAGCAGCTGGTAGTCGATACCAAATACTCGACCAGGATGTTTCTTTCCATCATTGATGAGGGATGCTAGGAGTTCTCGTGCACCTTGCAAGTTGAATGGATCTGAACGTATTAGTGGTTGGATTCATTAAAGAGTTATCATACTGAAGAGCTGTCAAATAGTTTTTGTAATCGTTTCCTGTTTATAAACTCATGTCTTTGTGAGTACAGTGCCAACTGGGTTATTCCATTTCCAACAGTTTCCATTTCTTAAAAGTGAATTTCCATGGAGAAAACATCTGTGGACAAAAAAATTTCGCCTCCCTCTATATTACGAAATTCCTGATCCCATATTTCACACCAATGGCCTTCTCCAAAATTTCAAGTTGTGGATTATTTCCTGTAAGTAGCGATAGAGCGCATCTAGTTCACATTTATCAACTCGATAGAATGTTAGAGAGCAGCCGACAGCATGATTTTTTTTTGTTTTGACATAGGTAGTCACCGCTCCTTGCGGATTGGAGAGGGGACTGATGCTCTCCCAGATCGGCAGTGCTGCTTCTAATGGCAGCAACTGTTACGATTAAACGACTGAAGGCGATGTAAAAGGCCGGATCCATCTCCATGTTGTGTTGTTGAAAATTTTGGTTTTTCACCAGTTCTGGTTCCAGAAGCCACAAAAGCAGAGGACTGCGCTCACTGTAAGGGATGTGGAAGCTTCTTGGTAGCAGGTGGACCTGGCCATTGTGAGCTAAAAGTTGACAATTTCGAACTATATGCCTGCCAAATCGACTACAGTGCTCGGCACTTGTCCTTTATCGGAAATATTGGTTGAACGAGAGTATCGAACTTTTCGCTGTATGGATACCTTTTCCTTAGATCTGTCTTCCAAGAAGTACTCATCAAAATTTGCTTGTCAAGAAGATTCCTCGGGCGCGGTGGGGGAGTTGGGTAAGCATTGAGGAGGAATGTACAGTTATGCCGTCAAGTGGATTGTTTCGCGATTTTTTTAATGGTTCACCAATGAATGCAATGAGAAATATTAGACTTGAAAATGAGGAAGAGCTTTGTTGGGCTGTGGTCGGGATTGTTACTGGTCTCGTTCGCACTATTGACGTCTTCGCCAGTCCATCTCCACCACGCATTCCAATTAGGTGGTCGAGGACAGAAATGCACGATAGCACTATGGTTACTTATTTACTTTTGTGCTTGGATGGCCCGTCTTCGTGTGTGGTGGGGGTCGCAGCACATCTTCCATTCTTTTCTTCCTCGCAATAGTCGTTTATTTTATCGGTCTGCTTCGCACATGATGATTCGCGATGTCCATTCCGTTATCCAGAAATTGTCTCCATCTGCTACTAGATGGTTAAGAATGACGTCAATATGTTAAGTTGCCGACGGAATGGAGTATCCAAACCAATTTTAGCTATTCCGTGTTACCTGAAAAAAAGTGCAGAATGATTATTTCCGTTCATGATGGTTTCACGTTCCCTACAGTTTTCGTCGTACACTACGAGCTGATATACAAGATGCGATGTTATGGCAGGAAGGTTTTCGCGGGCCAAATTTCAACATCCTGTACCAGCCGATCTTCAAAATGTGCGATATTGTCGGTTTGAAGACATACGGCGAACTGGAAAGCAACAGATGTGAGCTTCAACGACGGTTTCTAGAATGCTCTAACTTTTGTAACTTCTTTTCACAACTTCTTCACTTTCTATATGCTTCTTAAAGATATTTTTCCATGTCATTTTCCGATGTAGATCCATGCTTCACACTGATGCTTCACAAATAAGATGACATGAACGACGTTATTTACTGACTTTGTTATTCTTGCCAGTTGGATTTGCTTTTTCACAAGATGACGGTCTGGCAGTGACGCAGATGGATCTTCTACAGAAATATTCAGACGACTCTCAACCATCAACTGCCTTGGAACAATCCAGCAATGAAGTACGTTCGATTGTTTTTTCATCTTCATTGACGGCAGAATCAAATAAACAAGAAATACTCTTAAAAATACTTGACGATGAAGCACAACTGATGACTTCGGCAACGACACAGGACTTTGATTTTCTGGACGCTGGCTGTCATTCCTACGATCCCGTTTCTTTTCCTTTTTTTGAAATAGCCTGCTGGTTTTCAACACTTTCAGCGTTATCATCAGACGAATTTGGATCAAGGGTCTTTTGTTGCTTTCACAAAAGCGTTACAAAAATTCCTAAATGGATGACAATTTCTAAGCTGGATCACTCTCAAGTTTTTAAGATAGATCAGGGCGCGTGCGGGGCAGTGGTCGAAGGATCTCGAATGCATGGCGCATCCCTCAGGGATTGATCAACGGCGAAAGCTTTATCCTTTAAGCTGGATCAATTATTGTACTTAATAGAATTACTCGAGATTGGTCCTTTGCTCTCAATTTCTAGCGAATAAGTGAATATCCTGATTTATCACCACCTCGGTAGAGAGGTTCAACCGCTCGTTCAAGCTCTTATGAAATCCAATGGATTAGCTGTAAACAGTCACCGCTGAGTTGTGTGACGTATTTGGCCATTCTAATTTTCGATCTTCTTTAAGAACACAACTAGTAGAGGATTACATTAAAAGAAGAACGATGAAATCAAAAGTTTACAGAGTTGTCCTTTTTTACTATTTACACGATACTTGGTGGCCATCATTGGTTTGTTACTCCTACTAATGTACTCTTACGAATCTTTGCGTAGATCCTCCGACTAAAATAGTTTTAGCGACTGGATTTCCTTTCTTGGCGGCATCGAGATGGGTCCCTATATTTTTCCCAGCCATTATCTTCCTTTGTTTAATCGATCTTTTTATTAGCGCAATTATGGAAAGCCATAATTGTTTTCCTTCTTCTAAGTAGACAAATTATAAAATAACTGCAATTAGCCTATATCTGCTCGTAGCAGTTGCTAAGTGACGTTCTTTAACCCGACGTTGAGGTGTTTCCTTGAAGTTGATAGTGATATTCCTTTATAACGGACGAATACAGATTGTTAGTTGATGTAAGCTTTTTGACTAACCCAGCTGGCAATCCAAGAAGCAGTGTGATGATATAGATAAGACAGATCACGTTGAATATGAGAACCGACAGCCTTGGCGTTACGTGTCAGAGTTCGAGCAGATGAAATGCGAAAGCATGTCTATGATCCCATACATGGAGTGCTGGGAGACGAAATGATTGTCGTGTAACTCGTTACGCCAGGGCTGATCTTCCTACAGGCCTTAAAGCAATCAACCAACCAACTGAGGTGACAAAAAATGCGCATCTAGCTGTGACATTAATCATTGATTGAGCGGATAACAGTTCACAAAAAGATGCTTCTAATGGTTCATTAACTGTACTATATCCCTTTTGTTATTCTTTGAAAAAATACTGTTTTCGCATGAAGAAGTCGAAGACTTAGGTAGAACTTTGGAACAACCCTGACATCCATTCGAGAAAATGTTTCCTTGAAGAATAAAGATTAAAAGAGATTTCTGTCTGTCGTATTAAGTCTAATTTCCCACTGAAGCTGCCACCTATCCAAGTTTTGTGCTTCTTTTTGCGTAAAGCTGTTCGGACCAGTTTAAGCAGTGCCTGCCTTTATACTTTTCAATACTATTGTCCAATGAAGTATGAAGTCCAATGAAGTCTATAAGAAAAGTATATGACGTGTTTTGCGAATCTCCGACCATTCATTATCTTTGTTATAATTTAGAATATGCTTACGTGTGACATCCTACTACAATCTGACAGTAGACACTAAACCTTAGAGAAGACATCAAGTCATTTCCGACATTTTCCTAAAGCCATTGAACTTTCGCTTTTTTTCGGCAGGTGTTCAACCTCTTCGATAGCTGAGCGCTCACACCATAACGTTACGGCTCGGCCTGTTAACTCTCGAGTGACGAAGGTGTGATTTGATAATGTACGGCCCTTCGATATCTGTCCAATAGCAATGTAATCAATAGCCGTTCTTGCGGCCTATCACGTCCTTCCTGTGCTGAAGTACCGTAGTGAAGGTCTTAGGGAGCTTTTAGTGTTGGTGAAAATGTTAGGGTAATTGCACAAGCTCACAGCGGCATGTCAACGTGCTTCGAGATCAAATCTAACACATTCGGGGCAATACGTATCGATTTCAATGCGTACGCGCCCAAAAGTCATTTAGCTTTTCGTCTTTAAATTGGTATATCTTAGGCCATAATACGCTTTATAAGTTGCGCTTAAAGCCATCGTAGTAGAGGTAACTGCGTCTGTACTATAAACTGCAAATTTTCGTGTTTTAAAATATCAGTTCCTTCGTGCTCAGAAGATGCATTTCCTCCGAACTAGTCGGAACAAAGCGATCCATTCAGCAGAACGGGATGATGTCCTCGATTGCGTCGTCGATGTTTGCGTCTACTTTCTTTTTCCCTTACCAAAATCCGGATGTGAAACAAATTTGTGATCCAAGCAACATTATAGAGAAACCACATATACCATTAATTCGATGAGATAAAGTGTCTTTTACAACTCTCTTAATTTCTACACTCTTCAAATTAGATCCATTTATCGAAAAACTGTCGGAAAACCCGATCTGAAAAAAATCTGTAAGCGAATCCATTGATTTCAGGTGAAAGGGAAAACGATGGATCGTTCCGTCGATGACAAAACAGTCGAAAGCACGTCCGTGAAGTCTCAAAAGTCTCTACCGAATGCATCGACGGCCAACGATGCCAGCACAAAACTCAGCCGTGATTCTTGACATTCTCAGTCGAAATCTCTTGATAGTTACATTATCTTCATTCGAAATTTCGTACTTCACTTCTGCACGAACTTTGTCAATATGTTGTTTTTTAAAAAATATCTTAATGTATGAGTTGCGTTTGAAGTAAATGAAACTGAGTGGTACGCATGAGAATGGCTAGAAACTGCATTTGGGATAATTAAAAACGCTTCCGATTCTTTGAGTGGATAGGAAAACCGTGAATAGGTGACTTTTTTTTTCAAAATTCTCTATAGATATTTCCATAGTGCTCGTCCACCTTAGTGGTTAGGACTGTCCCGCAATGGGATAAAGGATGAAGCTCTCGGTACGGATCAATCCCTGAAGGATGCGCAATGCATTCAACTTCATTAAGAATCGTTTAGAGGTGATTGAATGCATATCTGGCCTTTTACGATGACTCGCGGTGGCCTACCGATGTATCGAGCCAGTGCTGCTATCCTTCCAGACAAGTCTGGTACTAATTTGCCGACCCCAGAGCGATGGAAGACTTGGTGGGCTATGGGCGCGAGAATCTATTCAAAATGTCCCGCAATAGGTATAACTGTTGGTTCGACCATGCGTCCCAGGCTTGCTGTAAGAGTTCGTTCTCTCCGGAGCCGGCAGATTCGTAGCAGATTCGTCTGGGAGGACAGCAGCTCTGACTTAATACATCGATGGGCCACTGCAAGTTATTGTGTGGGTCAAATATGCATTCAATCATCTCTATAATGCTTAATGAAAGCGAATGCACAGTGCAACCGTCAGGGATTGATCAACGCAGAATGCCTTATTCTTTTTATTTTCGTATGAACCAAATATTTCTTAAGCTTCAAGGATTCGCAAAAGTAGTAGTAGAACCTTTTCCTTTTCAATATTTTCCACAACACTGCCTTCCTTAAGGAAGTTATTTAGAAAACTATCATTATTGCAGTGAGAACGTTAGAAAGAACGAAATTTGAAAGAATTAACCTAACCAGCTTTCATGTCAATGGAGTTTGAAAACAAGACCTCCGTCACATCGAAGCACTGCATAAGAATAATACAACCTTGTAATTAATATATTACTTTTTCTTTTTCTGATTCCAATGGAAAAGATCCCATTTTCCACCCCTAGATTCCTAGGATCCTTTGTTAAAGAAACTAGGGATTCGTAAAAGATCCGGAGGACATCTGGGGCATGTGTATTATCCTCGGTGAACACGATTCCAGAGTCGTAACCATATCGAAGGCTGTTGACTCTCGTTGAGTGACAGTTGCGCAAGCCACAGCTGGGGTCAAGGGGGTGAGTTGGCCCGTTTATTCTTTCCGCAACATCATCTCACACTAATCCACTAGCTGACGTAATGGCAATGCATAGGAGGAGACCGAAGAAATTATTGGTAGGAGACTACGAAGGTAGGATTTTTATTCTCCGAAAATTCTAAAAGTTGCAGGTGATAACGGCTTGGTCAAGTTCAAGTATAGATGAATTGCCAAGGCGTCACACACGTATGACGTGCCAATATGAAAGGTGGACCACTCAGGAAAACTCAAACATTGCATGGGAAAATCGACCACAATCACATGGAAAAACAGAGTAATGAAAAAGTTTTGAAAAAAGCACAGCAAAAAATACGACAATGAATGATGCGATACAACGAAGAAACTTGGATAGCCGTTCAGATGTGATAAAAAGCTGGATGAAACCCAAATCAACAGATGCTTCGGGAAACCAAGACTTCGACTTCAATAAACAAGTTTGTAAAAAAAATAATAATATCATAGGAAATATGCACAACACATCTTACAGCCCTGAACTGAGAAATAAATTGTAGGAAAAAAGCGAGCATTACGAAATTGTGGAAGTAGCCATGATGTATATACTCGGCAATGTTGACAATTAGTAGAATGGAATAGATCAGACTTTTCCTCGATACGTAGTTCTCCGATAAATCTTTACACTACCCATATTATCACCTCTGATCTCATCAGATTTCGACGAATCCGTGACAGAAGCAAAAATGTGAGCACCAGAACGGAGAGGATCAAGAGAGAAGTTTCACTCCTTCGGCGAGGAGCACGAAGGAGAGCTGGCCGACTTCCAGTCGCAAAAGAGCGATCTGAGCTCGTAACTGCATGTTCTCTCGCTCCAGCATCTGGACAGGAATGATGAGTGGTGACGAACTTTTAACGAAAAACGGAGTGAATCTAGTCGACTGATTAAACAAAAAAAAAGTCTGGAGAGCTAAATAGTGTATTTGTTTTTTCAGAATTCTGGAATGAACGGAAGGAATGGGTTTCTAGTAGGAGTGAGTCAACCATTAGAGTGACACTGAACCGCTTAAAGGAGACGGTTCAGAAAAATATGGATGACTTACAGGGTCTTTGTGAACCTTCACTCTAAATCGAAGTGGCAATGAAAGCTGTTAGTGTTAATTTCTACAAGTAGACCCTATTCCCAACCCAGTCTTTCCTCTACCGTTCATATCTGTCCGCATCAACTTCACAGTTCAACTAGACGGGTTTTCGCAAAATAAATTCGATCTCTACGCTTACCTCGACCTGGCGTCGGTTCAGCGCTTCTCTTTGTCGGCGTACCTCTCGCGATCTTCGCGCGGAGTCGTTGTTCTTACGTCTTCGCTCCAAATAATCCACCTGAACGGACGAATTGCATCAGAGAATGCAGACATGGAAACTGAAGAAGTGATTTCTTCAACTAGAATACTGTGGCTGTGGAAGCATCGACCGATTCCGCAGTGAATTTCAAACGAGCCATTCGAATGGGCCGACATGGACCCGCACATTTCAAACACGACTCGAAAGCACTTCGTGACGGCATTTAATCTTGGGAACGAGGTATTTGGTGTTTTCGTTTTCCATCACTTTATAGAGACAATAAAAAAGGTGACGGTTATCTGTATGCACCATTCCAAACGATAACGCTCAATTTTTCAACGACTCAAGAACCAGAGTCTTGCGGCGGACATCGCAAGACTTATTCAGAGAATATTCCGATCTTCAATTAAACACTTTTCAAATCTTTAACATGACCTTTTATTTAACGAGGGTTTTTTTTGCAAAGTTCATTCTTCTACTCATTGTTTAACCGACACTGTAATAATTCCATAACATTCATAGAAAAGACATGAATGGGAAACTTCCAGACGAGAATGAAGCAGTAAATCGATCATTTTCGCGGGATGGTGGAATTCTTAAAAACTCATCACGAAGTGATGATGGGCCCGAAATAATTTCCTGCACTAGATTGATCGCTATACCGTTAATCGGGTTGTTCCCGATTCTGAGGTCCCCTGTCCTTCTCTTACCTGTTTTTCAGCTCGCTGACTAGGTGATGATGCCCATCCTTCTCCCTCCACGCGTACTGACGCTAACGAAGTGGATCTGCAAAGATTAAAAACGTTAAACCCTAAACTCCCCTATTTCGAACTCTGCTTTTTGCCCAGATATCGGTCACTTTTAGCACTATAGGGACAATTTTAATATCCCCTATTTCATACGAGATGCGTGGAGCGTAGTGGTTAGAGACACCGTGCAATGCAAAGATGGTCGTTGGTCCAACTTCGCCCAGAGCCGGCGACTTCGCCAAGTCGATTGCAGACCAGTCTCAGCTCCGTCTGATCCATAACATTCGACAACTGTCCATGGTTAGTAGCTTAGAAGGCCTAGCAGAGCTGTCCCAATTTACCGGAGAGAATTAACTCGACCAGCATTCAAAGACATTCGTGAACAACACAAAATTCTCAGGTGGTATTACAACCCACACACAACAATCCGAAGACTTTCGCTGACGGTGCGTGGAATCAATGAACTGAGGAAAGGGTTCCCACAATATGTAAAGTCGTGTCACGTGAATAAAAACCATCTCACAGAGAATATTCTCTATCACTTCAGACTAATTAATGTTGTATTTTTCAGTAGTATTCCATATTGTTCTAAAACATTATAGAATGGTTCATATTAAAAGTGTACTTCCTTGCACCCACAGTATTCTAGAATTTCCAAGATCGACTTTCTATTAATCTCAGCACTGATTGATAAGCATCCGTTTCCTTAATAAGCACAGACGAGATTGTTACGGTACTACCTAATCATCTACAAAAGCTGACGCTTCTGCGGATTTCGTCCTCTTCGGGGCTTGGAAAGGTCAAATTAAAGCAAAACACAATACAAAAACATGATACCTAGATTTAAATCGCATCGGACAAATTAGCTTCACAAGCTCACCGTTTGCTATGATTCTTCCACCGAATACTCCGTTTGAATACCAACCGCGCAGAGCTCACATGGATGGGTAAGTGACCACTCTTACATTAAAATTTCATTAAGATATTGTGCGACATCATTCGTGATAACGAGGTATTCCTCTCTGCGGTTCATTTTTGGATATGTAAAACTTATCCAGAATGCTTCACGAGCTTTACTCACGACGTCTTAGATTACGCAAGGATAGTAAGTTGTACCGAAAAATTGTCTACGTAACTTATACACGTTTAGTGACGTGTGTTGTTTGACTTTAAGTTTTTGAACTAGATGTTCTTCCATACGGAAGCACAGTGATCTATCCGTTTGGCCAACGCATTCCTCCTTGCACGCTTTTCAAAAAGCCGAATAAACCATACTCGAACTCTTGTATTCATCGTCTCTACCTTTACGGTAAATTATGTAATCATGTGTTTTGCAAAGACGGTCATAAAGATGTATAGATGACTGCTTTGCCAACTGTTTGTTACGAAAGGAGATTGAAAATGGTTTGAGTTGCTGAGTGAACACTCAGAGTACGTAATGCTGAGAGACCGAAAGAAAATTGGTTTCTGCTTCTGAACGTTCAAACTAACCTGGCCAAAAACGACTACATCATGAACTGATACCGTAAGCCAAGTAACTAAAACATACTGGTTCATTACCTCTCTTATCTCACACACACAAAAGAGGCGCTTATGAAAAACATGCTTTGAACAGCGACCAGACAGGAAGAGAGTAGAAAGAAGAATCCCTGATACTGACGTGGCAAATAGCTATAGCTATGAAATTGTAGCCCCTTGGGAAAGTTTTAGGCGAGGAAACGCACCTCAAACGATATGTCTAGCGATAATAAGGTCCCATTTATCTTGCCCTTCATTTCCGATGAAATAAGCACAACTATAAAACGTTGCTTGAAATAGGCCGGTCTGGTCTAGAGAAATCGGTAGTAGTGAGTGAAATAGCACCGAGACTATGACGTCAGCTAGTTCGTACCCGCCTCCGTGAACGTCTACGTATCCAGAATTGCATACTTTGGCCTAAAAATAGAGATGGCAATTGCATGTGTTCCAGTATGGCGTTTCCGATCTCTTGTAAAGCGTTCGGGGACGAATACATTGTCGAAACAGGTGGACCACTCTGTGTTCGTATAAACGACCACTTCGTCGGTAAACTTAAAGCTAAACCAAATGCTTCTCGCGCATTGGAGACAAAGATATCGAGGCAGAATTGAAAACTTAAGCGCGTAAAACTCATGAAGGATTCTGGATAAATTCCAGGAATCCAAAAATAGAGCACAGGGAGGAATGCTTCGTTATCTCACGTGATCTCACACAATATCTCAGATTGACATTTTAACATGAGAGGGATGCATTACCCATCTATGTAAACTTTGTATAACTGGCTGGTCTCCGCGCGGAATACTCCGTGGAAGAATCGCGGAACGCGGTGAGCATATGAAGAAGCTGTTTTGTTTACAATGCGATTTAAATCCAGGCATCATGGCTTTACTGCTAAAGATATTGTTTTGCTGATTGAGTTGCAGTTAGCTTAACCTTCCCAAGACCTGCAGAAGGCTAAATCCACCGGAACTTCAGCTTTTCTGGATAACTAAATATGATAGTGACAACCACGCGTGTGCTTACCAAGAAAATAAATAATAAGAATGTTCTAAAACATTCCAGAATATTTCGCTCACGTATATTAGCATGTGTAACATTCCTCATCATTGCTCAACCTATCTACAATTGCCAATTCTATTTTCTACTCGTTCATTGTTCATATAAAGTTTTATATACCCAGCATTGGAGTTCTGCTCAACAACTCAAAACATGAAGAGTAAAGGGTCAAGTTCTAAATCGCCCGCTAGCACCACTATTTACAATATTTCGTCACTGCTTCACCAACTCTCGTCTTTTTCACTTTGCAAACTTCCTTCATGATTTCGATCTCTAGTAAAGTAAAGTTTCTCACCTCATAATCGAAATGAGAGTCGTGTATACAACTTCTTCCAACCGCACATATTAATTCAACTTTGAATGTTCACTTAGAATCGCTTCTTCCAAAAGCGACTGTGTAGTTTGAGTAAATTTCTATGTACCTCAACGACTGCCGCAAACCGCTCTGGAGCATGGCGTACAGTTCCATCCCGTTAGTCACGAGCTCTGATCCCCGTTCGGATAACTCATTCGAATTTGTAGGTACAGTAGGTGGTGGAGATGAAGAGCTACTGGACGCATCTTCACCGTTAATAGCTTTATCGGAACGATGTGGTGACGTGTTGCCCATCTGAAAGTGTCATGGTGAAAGAAAAAGGTGCAATATAGAAGACTAAAATAGATTCTAATAGCCGGCTTCCAACATCTAAGAACGATGAGAGTTAAATGAGCCTTTTGTAACCGTGTCAAGAGAAGAGGTTGATATACAAACACATATGTCCTCAACCAAGAGTATAAACAACTGGATTGGCTGGGTTTGGCATTACTCAGCTGAAGGTTAATTTGTGGAATATGCTAAGAACTCAGGTGGCTATCAGGACAAATAAGCCATTTCTCCACCTTTCGTTCCAGAATTTTTGATAAACTGGCCGACTCTGGAAAGATCGAGAATAGCTGTGAGGTGGAAATATGGTTCATACGAATAGGTGCTGTGTACTATGGCACTGCGTCTCAACACGCTTCTGGTTTTTTGATAACTGCTGGCAACTCTCCCATAATAAGTGGACTTGAATCGCTGATAACTAAATAGATGTATAGGAAAGGTTTGGCACAATTATTCTCAAATTATGAGTGATTTTTACAAAATGTTCTTTCGATTTTAACAGATCCACGATATCATGATCTTGTCGGTTATGTACTTGGTGGTTCTTTAGAGCATAGACGCTAATTTTTAACGATAGGAGGACTTCGGAGACCGTAACTTGTCGCATTTGTAGAAGAGACTTTGTTCTATAGCTCCGTGAGTATGAATAGCATGTATACTAACATTTGCAATACTTTGCAGGTTATAACGAGTCCGGCTCAGTACTTTTGCAGTCCATGGACCGTAAATTCACTTTTATAAAATCGAAATAACGACGAACTATAAGTGAAACTATTGTAGAAGAATTCTTTCTAGAGAAGGTTTTCGGTACACTTCTAAGCTTCCCAGCCAACGCCCGCCACAAATCCATCTAGGACAAACTATTGAATGACTACAAGAAGTGCAGGAATAAGGTTCTCTGTACCAAAATAAACCTCCAAAAAAGGACTCACTCTATGGAGATCATACAGACCACAAGGTCCCTTTAAAGATCATTCCTGTAGAGGTCACCTCGTTACGAATGTGTTAAGGTTATTTGGAACTCAAAGTAATAAAAACATTGGACCAAACATCATATACTTAATATTTCTAAGTGCAATGGACATATACATTCAGAGATATAATTATCCCCTATTCAACGAAGTCGCGACTGCTCAATAGCTTCGAGCGATACGAGCTTGCACGAAAAACGGTAAGGAAAAATGCGTTCTTTGAGCCCCAAAAAATTTTCAAAATTTTAATTTTACAGAGTAGTAACAAAAATTCTACCTTATACTAAGTACTCATAGATTCTACTAGTTTCATTCCAATCAATAAAGCTTACTACGAGCTGAGAAAGGTAGCTGAAAAAAGAAAAACGCTGTTATTTCAGGAGATGAGTGTATTGAAATCAATACATCTCGTCTGTCATTTAGTGGTCAACAACAAAGACTACTCTAACTTTGAATAGAAGCAGTAGTTGGACACAACACTGAGAGCAATGACTGGGAACAAATAGTGCTTGCTTCTTTTGTTAGCGTCGGCGAACCCAGACATGAATTTCAGGAAAGTGAACCAATATGTTGACAACTTGCTTAGGATGGCGATGAATTTAATATTTCAGATAAAAATCGATGTTGCAGAAGTTTTTTTTTGGTCTTATGCTCTAGAATATAATGGAGAGGTATTTCAAGGGCAACACGAGGACAACTATGAATACTCGGTATCTTGCGATGACCATACCATAACTATTGAGGTCGGGACGCGTCCGAACCACCCTGGCGGCCAACAGGGGTCAGTGGAGGTCAGGTTTGAACTGGCGCGCCGTGTGCTGAGCATAGGAATGAGTGGGCGGAGCTCGGTTGCGCAACAACCTCACGGTTAATCACAGTGATGTTTGTCGAGCAGGTCAGTTGCGGCACTCAAGAGCGAGGTACAATTACTTTGAAATTTGCTAACTGTTAGGAACGCCTGCGGAGAATTTCATGCCATTGTTTCCGATTATCACGTTAGGGAAGAGATATAGGCCTCTGGAGGAGAATGTAGATGCCTTTGTTAATTCTAACAAGCTAGGGATTTTCTATGCCGACCCTACCCAGTGCATTCGATTGTTAAGGAAGGAATGCCTATTTTGGACTTGAAACGTTAAACACACATATCTCAGGTTATGGAAAGTTTAATAACGAAAATAAAAACGTTCTGCCATCGAGGTAGTAGTGTTCATTTATTCAAGAACTATAGAATAACAAACTTGTAGAGCTCATCAATCTTCTGAACGCATTTCTTAGCGGCAGTTTGGTTGCGGACCGTTTATTATTAACCTACAGGTGCCATCAGCAATGACCCGTCAACAGGACAGATCTGGGGAGCACAAATCGGCATTGAACTCAGTTAAGCTGAAACTGTGGCACAAATCACAATATCAATTTTTACTTACTGCTTATTACTTTTTAATGGCAACGTATTATGTGAAATATAACCGTAATGATGCTGAGACATTTGCAAAACTCCAGTTTATTCTCAAAAACCAGAAAGTCAGCAACGGACGAAAACTTGTTCGCATCCGACTGAATCAGCTACGTAACACGGTAGTAGAAGGCCATGGGTTATGCAGTCGTTGCAGTGTTTATCTCATGAGTACGCTTTACGAAGCAAGGCATCGTATATTAGTACCATCGACTCTATATATATATAAAAAACATCGCCTATTTCTTCGACAAACACTCTAAACGTTACAGGTAAATCTGCTCTAGTTGTCACCTTGTTGTCTCTTCCATCGTTAGCCGTACAGTAAACACACCTTTAGCGAAGACCCTATTCGTACTTTTTACTCGCCAGCGTCGCCCAATGGGTCCTACTCGAAAGGGGTAACCGACTAGTACCAAAAAACCAGCAAGTCAGCACTCTTGGTCCTCTCTTCTTAAAAGCCTGCCTTATCGTTTCATCGCACAGCATCTTAATTTCGGACGTGAATTGATGATTAACTGTTTTTCGGGCGACTCCATGTTGGTGCATCAGCTCGGGTTTTTCTGAAGGTGTCTCCTAATGAAATGTAAAGTCTCGCCTTTTTTAGCATTATCGTTATGGCACTGTATAACCAGGTCGTATTCCTAACTGATACTTTCTGTAACAGCATTTTTCGGAAACCCGATTAATCTGAACAAGGCCTTGTTTGTGGTCCCTATGGGATTTCATTTCCACTATTTTGCGGCGTTTCCTCCCTTCCGCGAGAAATGAGATCTTGTACGAGGGAAGCGATGGACCAATTCTCTGTAAAATAACGATCTTATCTCTCCTTGAGAAGAAGACGGATCCAAGGCGTGAACCCCAGTTTTTGCTGAGCCGATTTGGCACATAATTTCTGTGTTCACGAGGACGTATTCATGCGTGTATGGAGTGTTCTCGTTAATGTGGATTGTATTCTACGAGTCAATTCGGCCAAAAGCCTGCAATCAATTGACAGGGAACTATATGAATATGGGAGGCGGTTAGGAGTCGCCTCCAACAAATAAGCTCCATGTCCACTCTGGGAGTGCTTGGCAAGCTACCCATGAGTATACGCAGCCCTACGTTCAGAGCCCAGCAAGCTATACGTGGGTATCAAAAATGCTAAGCACAGCAAAAAAAAAACGAGCCTCATTCCCCTGACCCCGAAAGAGCCCCCAATTTCGCAGCTTTGGGTAGGACGAGTACGGAGAAGCTGCTAAAATCTCAGAGCCAATGGATGCTGAATGGATTTCAAAGAACAATGGCGACGATCTGTACCTACAATGCATGCTCCCTTGCATTTGAGTCCTCGATAGAAAACCTGATCAAGCAAGTAAGAAGGATAAGGCGACGTCATCGGCCTGGCCGAGACGAGAAGATGCCAGCGTTTCAACGCCGTCTATGACACCGGAGAAGAACTATTCCTCGGAACATGCGACAGCAGAGGAGTCGGCGGCGTCGGCGTTCTCGTCAACACGAGTTTGTCCGTGAACATCGATTCATTCGAACAGCTTACAACCGGAATTGGACGTTTACGATTAAAAAGATGTGGATCAACGCGGGGCTTGACAATCTTCGTTGCTTACGGATTGGCATCAAGCTATGACGAAGACGAAGTCGAAGCGTTCTATATGGACTTGAAGAAGTTTTACAGAGAAGACCATACATTCTTCAAGGTCATCATTGGAGATTTCAATGCCAAGATTGGACCAAGAAGAACGTCTTAGGAACGTTACATTGGGAGCTGCTGATTAGAATGGAATGAACAGGGTGAGCGGCTGTCTGAGTTTATCTTAATGACCAAAATGGTAACTTACAACTCCATATGCACCGCTCTCAACATAGAGGATGAGGTCTCCCAATGGAGAACAACATAACGAAATAGACCACATCATAGTAAATTAAAGGCTTTGCCTAACCGATATCGTTGTTGACCTGAAATCCCATGCGGGATTAGACCATCACCTCCGTCGTACAAGATTTCATTTTTCGCAAAAATGAGAAAAAGCCGCCAAATTCAAAAGACGAAGTCCGAAAACCAGCTAGAATTTATCCAGTTTATTAGTTGGCTGTTCGGAAGGATCCGTTATTGGTAATATCGACGACAAAGACGATCGGCTCATTCAACATCTTCACGTTAGGGCTATGAAAGCTGAGAGACTCAGCAAGAGACGTCTGTCTCCAGAAACACTGGAGCTGAAATGTTAAAGTGGAATCGCACGAGCCATAGACAACCACCACGTTTGAACTCTTACAATAATACAAACAGGAGATAAAAAGAGATCTTGAAGACAGAGTAGCATCAGCTATGGCCCAACTTGCAGATGCTGAAAAGACGACTCGCAAAGCGCACCGAAATTTCGCTAGTTACAAAACCAAGATTGCACTGCTACACCCAGACAAGACAGTTAAGCTTCCAGCAAGGCATCGAAAAAATCATTCACGACTAGTACTCGGATCTCTTCAATACCCATGCCTTCTTCCCTCATATGGAATGATGGAGGCTGGATATGTCACCCTAC